CTCCATAAACCAAACCTGGCTCTCTGCGCTTTTTGTACAGCTCACAAAGAAAGAATGGTTTTCACATGTTTAATGGTTTGTTAAACCCATGCCTAATATTTTGTGAAACATGAAAATTACTTGAAATTCAAATTTCAGTTTCCATAAGTGAAGTTTTATACATACCTACGTTTATTCATTTATGTGATATCTATGGCCACTTTCATGCCACAGTGGCAAAGCTGAGTAGTTGCAACAAAATGGCCCACAAAATCCAGAATATTTACTATCTGGTCCTTTACAGAAAAAGTTTGCTGACTGCATGCATAGAGATTGTATTAGGTGCAAGGGAACAATGTGTTGGAAGGTATTTGATTTGTATTCCATGAAGCAAGAAGAGAGGGTTTCTCTGTGAGATCAGAAACAGAATGAAGACAGTAGAAAGGGAAAAATACGCAAAGAATATTCTAGTCCACGTAGCAGATGCTAAATCCACCTGCATCCTGGCCAGGATTCACTTTGAAATTAGGAAATATAAAACTGACAAAGCAGGAAGTGGAGTGAAGACCTGACCAATAAGCTCCCTACTAGCAAATATCCTCCCTTTGCAACTGAAAAAGTAACCATAACCCACAGGTGTACCTCACCAGCTCACCATGCCCGCATCACTGGATTGACCCGTGCACTTTTCCCCCTAAAGCAAAGGATCCATGAAGAGCTTTGGTAATCATGAGTGTCATGTTTCATTTGTTTCCCATCCTTACCCAAGACTCATTTACTGTGACACTGGTTTTGTAATTGGGATCTCCAAGTTTCCAAACGTACAGATAGTGCCTCTCTAGAGCATCACTAACTTGTCACTCCTCTTAGAGTAAGGCAAGCAGTTTGAAGAAGTTCATGTAATTTGGGCTGATCAATATACTGCAAAAGGTAACAATATACTTTTTTTTTTAAAGATTTACTTATTTATCGCTTACAAGAAACTGGAGTACAGGCCAGAAGTGTGGGGGGTGAGAGGATTCATCAGAGACAGAGTGGGGAACAGAACAGGCAGACTGACTGAAATACACTGCTGAGGGGAGCAGCAGGTGAGACAGAAGAGGTCTGCTGTGCCATGTGGGTAGCTCCCTGGCCAGGGATCGAACTCATGCTGCAGTAGCTGTGGATTGCTTCATAGTGCTGTGTCTTAACCCCTTGCACCATCAGGGAGGCCCAGAAATATACATTTTGAATAAGTACTGATAAAAATGATAAGGCAACTTAAAATTAGTTGGTAATATAATTTGTGATTTCAATTTAGAGTGTGGTAGTGTAATCAGTTTAGACGTAATAACTTGAAGTTGCAATATATTCACATAGTTGCAATATATATGTTGGAAATTTTAAGAATAGTGTTTTGTTTTTATCTCATTTGCATTGTTTGCCAGACAATTGAAATACTTAAAAAAGGAAATCGAATATACTGAATGTATAAATGCATTTGGAAATGTTAGTTTGTTTATAACATATATTCAAAGTCTCCTTAAAAGTGATTAGCATCTACTAGATCTATAAATACAATAGTAAGACCTATAAGATGAACTTCTAAAAGTTTAAGGAATGTTTTTGTTGCTACTTTAATAAATTGAATATTAAATTTTAAAACTGAAAAAACATCTTCTCTGCCTACACAGTAGCCCTTAACATTTTTTAAATGTCCTCTGAAAAGACCTGTTCTGGATTGAGGACCAGAAGGTAAACTTGTCTGATTCTGGGATCTTTTTCCTTCATCCTCCCATCTGTGGCGTGGTTCTCGACCGCAACCACCAGATGGCAAGTTTCCTCACATTGTCTGGTTCACAGAAGATCTCTGGCTAACAAAGGATAATAAAAAATAGGTCCATAATCTGAAACCCTGTGTCTTGAAAGTGAGAATATTTCAGATTTTTAGAAAATACAAAAATATACAGTATAATGGATAATACCTACTGGGGGGCATGGGGTAACATTCCATAATCAAATGTGTTCATATTTCTGCAATTAAGTTTATGGATAGTCACAGAATAAAAAATGACTTCCCATTCATTCAGACCACATTTTGCTGCCAATTTTTTGTTAAAAATAAAACTTTTATTTTTACAGTGTTTTGAAATTTGGAAGTGTGGCTAAATTTTGTATTGCTCTGGAATAATGAATATCACATATGGCATTTGTTGTGTAACTGACTCCATTCTAAATGCTAAATTCTCATGTTAACCCTGTGAGATGGGTCCTACTGCATCTCCTTCTTTACAGAAGGGGAAATTGAGAGTAGGGTGCCCAAGGGTGCATGACTTGTAAATTGTGCAGTTGGAATTAACTCAGACACACTGACACCAGAGTCCATGCTTGACGCTAGGCAATGCTGCTTCTAGGAAACAGCCCCAGACCAGCATTGTAGTATCAGAATCACAGGTGAGACTGGTAAAAAGTACAGATCCCTAGATTCTGCCCCAGACCTCCTCAAACAAACTCTCAGGACCATGAGGAAGTCAAGGATCTTTCCAAAGTAACAGAGCAGTTGGTAGGCAGCTAGTTTTTGATCCCTGGCTCTAGCTGATGGAGATTAGCAGAAAAGCTGGAAAAGAGGCACTACACGACCAGGAACCTGGCTCAGGCATTGCTTGGAGGTGGAGGTGAGGGTAGAAGTGATTAATAGTCGTTAAACCAGCTACAGAAATGAAAAATCCTTAGGTACCAACTGCTATAGTTGTTATAGGACAGGGAGAGGGGCAGCCCAAACCCCGCAAACCTGCCTATTCTACATGGGTTCTGCCATCCGCCGCATCAACACAAAACATAGGAGACTTTAATGGGAAGGAACTTTAATAAAACTAGGAAACAATACAGGTAAGGCAAAGAGTCTAGTTTCTAAATGAAGCATCCAGAGTTACCCATCCCCTTGTGGGTAAAAGTCCATCCAAATGGGATTGGCCCAGAACAAGGCCCCAAGGCCTGCCACAAGTCTAAAGCATCTTCCAGTGGGGACCCACAGAAAAGGGTCACAAACAACTGGACAAGCCCGGAAGGAAAAGAGCAAAATCAACATCAAGATAAAAGCTGCCATGGTCACCTCCCCACGGGTCTCACCCACATCTGTGTCACCCAGTCCACGACCAAAAGACAAGCGCAGTTTCTTCACGTGTCTCTAGGCTCCACGCGCCTCCTCCAGGTCTCCTGGCTCCATCCTGCTTCCTTCCTCAGTCTCTTCTGCCGCTTCTCCTCTTCCTGCTCAGCTCCACCCTCCCTTGGGTGGGGCAGGGAACCTGGAACCTCCCCCTTTCCTGGGGACCACCCTGTTACATAGTGAGTATCAGATACTACTATATAAAGAATCACCAGGTGCAGACCAGACGTGGGATGTGGTCATTGTAGACAATCACTGGTCCTTACAAATTAACCTAGTCACACCCTAGAAGTAATTAGGTTAACAAAAGTTAACAACGCCACAAAGGAATGAGCCTCTCCCAAAGAGAAGACTAAATCGGTGCAATTTCTGCACTGGCAGGTGGCAGCAGCCCTTCTTCCCGCCTGTGACTATGCAGGCCTCTCCTTTTAGCAAACGTGTCCTTTTCAGGGGCAGCTCTTTCTACCCACTTGTGTCTATGCACGTGTCCATTATTCTCTCCCTTTTAAAAATAAACCTACCCTTTTGGATATAACTAATACCTCTGTCTCATGGAGAAACTCACCTTGTGCCACTGAAAAGGGAGCTGTGGTGAGACTTCTCCCAGAGTTAACCCAAGGACCCTCTCTGAACCCAGGACGTCTCCAAACCAGCCTCCTAGGGAGTCTTTCTGGCTCCCTATGACCGCTCCTGAGTTGCCTTGAGGATCCCCAAGGATACTTTCAAGCAGTTTTCCATGATTCACATTTCCCAGGATTGTTCCAGCAGAAGAAATTTAGCCCCAGCTTCAACGAAGACCCAAACTGCGGTTGCTACAACTTCCCTAGTGCTTCCTGAAAGCGGCCAGCCTAGGGAAGTGGCTGCCACCGTAGGGCGCTGAGCTTTGCCTCCAGAAGCCAGAGCCAAATTAGGTCTGAGGCCCACACCATTAATGTGTAACAGGGTGGTCCCCAGGAAAGGGGGAAGTTCCAGGTTCCCTGCCCCACCCAAGGGAGGGTGGAGCTGAGCAGGGAGAGAAGAAGCTGCAGAGGAGACTGAGGAAGGAAGGAAGCAGGATGGAGCCAGAAGGAAACCTGGAGGAGGCGCATGGAGCCTAGAGACACGTGAAGAAACTGCGCTTGTCTTTTGGTCGTGGACGGGGTGGCACAGATGTGGGTGAGACCCGTGGGGAGGTGACAATGGCAGCTTTTATCTTGATGTTGATTTTGCTCTTTTCCTTCCGGGCTTGTCTGGTTGTTTCTGACCCTTTTCTGTGGGTCCCCACTGGAAGATGCCTTAGACTTGTGGCAGGCTTTGGGGCCTTGCTCTGGGCCAATCCCATATGGATGGAGTTTTACCCACGAGGGGACGGGTAACTTTGGGTGCTTCATTTAGAAACTAGACTCTTTGCCTTACCTGTATTGTTTCCTAGTTTTATTAAAGTTCCTTCCCATTAAAGTCTCATATGTTTTGTGTTGATGCGGTGGATGGCAAAACCCATTTAGAGCAGGCAGGTTTGCAGGGTTTGGGCTGCCCCTCTCCCTGCCCTGTAACAAATGGACGAGCATCTGGGTCCTTGCACTCTTGATTTGATTGTTCTCACATTACCAAAGTTCTCACACATGCATTTCAGTGTGTAAACACCAAACGCAAGACTCATTCTCCTCATTGATTCTCTCCCTTCCTATTTCTATCTGGGCAAAAGCAGTGGAAACGAAAACACAGCGAAGGATAACATTTCAAGCCGATGCAAGGCAGGACTCTCCTGAAGGCACCGAGCAGCCAAGATGGCTTCCGGTACTTGCCGCCACACTTAACATGGCGGCCGGGGAGCGCTGCGTGAGGGAAGTCACGCGAGAGTTGCATCGAGGCTACTATCCGAGACTTGAAACGGGGGTGTGGAGCAGCCAAGATGGAGCCGGCAGCCGGCGGCCCCGGCCCGCTGATCATGAACAACAAGCAGCCCCAGCCGCCGCCGCCGCCGCCGCCGGCAGCCGCACAGCCTCCGCCCGGGGCGCCGCGGGCCGGCGGGGGCCTCCTGCCCGGGGGCAAAGCTCGAGAGTTCAACCGCAACCAGCGCAAAGACTCGGAGGTTAGGAGCTCGGGGGGCGAGGCTGGCGGCCGGCGGCGGCGGGGTGCAGGGCCCGCCCGCGGGCCGAGCTGGGCTTTCGGGGCGCTCGGCGGGGCCCGGCAGGAAGCAGAGCTGGCTCTCCGGGGCCGGGGTCTTGAAGGCGGCGCTCCCCAGCCCGGGCACCCCCGCCCCGGGCACCCCCCGCCCCGGCACCCCCCGCCCCGGGCACCCCCGCTCGGGCACCCCCACCCCGGGCACCCCCGCCCGGGCACCCCCGCAGCCGGCGTCTGCTCGCGGGCTCCTCTGGGCCGGCGCCGCCCCTGGAGAGCCCGCACCCCCTCCCCCCGGGTTGGGGGACGAGTCGGTGGGGTCTGCGTGTGCCCGGGGGGCCGGGAGTTGCGCCCAGGACCCCCTAATCCTCCCCGGCCTCGGGTCCTGTGGGCGGACGGCGCGGGCGGGCAGGGGAGGGACGGGCCCTCCGAGGGTGAGGAGGGCAGTGCCCAGCCGGCGAGGCTGGTTGTCTCCCAGCCCCGGGCCTGCGGGCCAGGTGCGGGGGCGCCTTCGCCGCTCACTTTGCCCCTCGCCGCTGCTGGTGCCTGCCCGCGTTTGACAGGTGTTGGGGAAGCCATTGCGCCCCCCTCCCACCCCAGAAAGATTATATATTTAAGCTCGCGTTAGGGGACAGCACTCCCCCTCATGCTAGTCGGCTGTTGGTCCCAGAGACACGTCGTCTGGAGCTGATGCGTCTCCTCACCGGGAGTTAAAGAATTCCTCCCACTGCCTCCCATTGTAGAATTCATGAATGAAGCCACGCACGCCGCAGCCACGTTTTAGGGCGTCTTAATCAGCAGGTTCCCAGATCACTTACTAGGAGGGCTCTTCACCTGAGTCAGCCCCGCTGGGATCAGCTGCCAGGAGCTTGGTGGGAGGCCATTCCTCCTTGTCCGGGCATAATGAGTACCAGGTCATTCCCAGGAGCAGTGTACCGTCTTTAGATGTGTGAAATCAAGCTTGTTGTTGTTGTTGGCAGGGACAAACCTTTTATTAGAATCTGGCAGGTCGAAAATAGACGTATTTTGAACTTGGAATTAATTGTCTGAAAAAGTAACAAAGCTTCCCCTTTTGGAGCCCTTTCTGGTGGGGGATGAGCCATCAATGATAAGGACTAAATTATTTTTTCAGGTGTGGGGAATTATGAAGGTTTTGAAGGTGAGCCCGCCTTCATGATAAGAGGACATACAGTTACAAATGGTTTTAAATGTTCCTTAGTCACCACGAATGGTCAAATAATTACCCTTTCATGCATTTGAATTTCTACCGTTCAATTTGCATATAAACTCAACACTGGGAAAGTCAGTCCCAGATCTCGGGTCAGCTGAGAGACCTGTCTGGATTGGCTTCCTTAGAGGGGCTTGTGCTGTGCTCAGTTCCATCTTTTGTGGTAGCTGAAGTTTGTAGGCTGGGTGCCTGAGCGGTGGGGAACAGGGAAGCTGGCATTTGATGAGGGTCCACCATGTGCTGCGTGATTTTGATGAGTCCTTAACCTTCACTGTAGATTCTCTCACACACACCCCACACCACCCCATTCCATAAACGAAGAAACTGAAGCTCGGTAGCTTGTGAAATTGTACCTTCTGTTGCTTGTGAATAAAATGTAGTTTTTCATGTTACTCAGTTAGGGTGTGTATGTCATGTCCTTCTGCGGGTGATCTTTGTCTTCCCGAGTAGATTGTAGTTAAGCCTAAGGACTTTACCTGTTTCTTCACGTGTCTCTTCCCAATTTAAGGCTTCCAAGATGGTGTGTTCTCCGTGATCACCTATCCCGAGCAGTATAAAGATTCTCTTTGTCCCAGCCTCTCTGTGTGGGAGGGAAGCTGCTTTGTTCCGCTGCCTGCCCATCTGTCAGTTTTCTCTGAAATTTGAGAGAAGGGCAGAAAGCTGAGGGTGTAGGTACTCGTTTTGTCCTGAGCTGTTGATTGCTCACTAGCCAGAAAGAAGTGAGACTTCCAGAATCTTCGCAACATGTGGATGGATCACTCACTATGTAGAAGCTTTGTGTTCTTTCAACAAGTATTTATTTGAGAATAAATTATTCATTTATTTGCTCATTCATGCCAAGTACTGTGCTGGGCATCGTGAAGTTGTTGGTGAGCAAAAGTTTCTGCTCTTGAAGAACTTACAGCCTCATGCTGCGGCAGATGCTGTACAAATACTCGTGCCAGCATATAATCTTAAGTTTTTCTAAAGGAAAAGTATAAGGTGCTCCAAGAAGGCTTAATTGGAAGACCTGAGCTAGCTCCAGAGACAAAATCACTGTGTTAGACCTCAGAAGAGTGGAGGACACAGCAGTGTCGCGGGAAGCCTGTATTTCTTCCCTGGAGAAGGCGTGCAGTGATCTTTGCGTCTCCTCTCTCAACAGGGCTATTCCGAGTCACCAGACCTCGAGTTTGAGTATGCTGACACAGACAAGTGGGCTGCAGAGCTCTCTGGTAAAGCCCATAAGACAAATACAGAGCTTCATGTCATTTGGGGGTGCTTTTTTTCCTTATTGGTCTTGAAGAAAATCAAGAGTGAATGTCATGTTGAAGTTTATTTCTCTTGAGTTTGTCCTAGTACTGATGTATCAAGAACATGTTAAGTCTTGGATTCAAGCTGCATGTCTCATAACTCTGGCCACGCGCCTCCCATGCTGGTAGTCTCTCCTTGAGCACTGGAGCCCGAGGAACACCAGCAAGTGTGCTTGCAACTGTCTGCCTCTGTTGCTGCCACTGTGGCTCACGTGGAATGTGAGGCAGCCTGTGCTGCTTCCCAGGCCTCTGCAGCACAGCTCCTATTCGGGGAGGTAGCAGCCGCTTCAGAAACACCTATTCACATGGTGGTCAGCCTCTGGCAGGGCTTGGTGGGGTTCACTGGCATTGAGTGGTGCACATCAGAGCCCTAGTACCCCCATAGTAAGTACGTAGCCTGGTCCATAAGTCACTGTGACTCAGGAAAGAGTTGGGCCCTTCTCTGCTGCGTGTGAGACCGGCTGTGGAAGGGAGCTGACAGTAATGAGACTTTGTCCTTGACAGAGCTTTACAGCTACACGGAAGGGCCAGAATTCCTGATGAATCGAAAATGCTTTGAGGAGGACTTCCGGATCCATGGTGAGATGATTCCCCCCACTTCTGGGTTCCTTTTCAGTCTGTATCACAAGAGTTGCAGCGTTGCTCTCAGTCATCTGAATGAGCTAAGCTATCCTGGAACGGCCTGAGAAACCTGCTGAACCCTTATTGTTCAAGGCTAGATGTGACGTTTCCAGTGGGTGGTGGGTACTCTAGCGGTAGCTTTTCAGAATGTGTTAGGGAAAAAAAGCTGTGTGATTAAAATTGTACCCCAAAATAGCAGCTTCGTTCTGGAAATTCAAATTCACAGAGTGGCAGTGTGACCTGACCCCTTATATAGAGAGTAACTTATCTTTGTGAGCTTTTTAGATTGTGGCAGTTCTGACTTTGATGGGGTAATATGGTATGGTGTCCATTCCCTTGTAAGGGATTTTGGGGCACTCAGTGTCACTGGTTTTTTGCCCTGCAGTGACAGACAAGAAGTGGACTGAGCTGGACACCAACCATCACCGTACCCACGCCATGAGGCTGCTGGATGGCTTGGAAGTCACTGCCAGGGAGAAAAGGCTCAAGATAGCGCGAGCAATTCTCTACGTTGCCCAAGGTACAGAGCAGACCTCTCGGGGTTCCTCAGCACCTTTTGGTCACTTGCCTGGTCAGATATGGAAGGGGCTCCAAGGGTGCACCTTGTGTCTGCAGGCACCTTTGGGGAGTGTAGCTCCGAGGCAGAGGTGCAGTCCTGGATGCGCTACAACGTCTTCCTGCTCCTGGAGGTGGGCACGTTCAATGCTTTGGTGGAGCTTCTGAACATGGAAATAGAGTGAGTTTTCTGAAGGGTAGAGCAGGGGAGGGGACCAAGGGGTTCGGGGGAAGAACTTGTAGAACCATCTGGTTAGAGGGTTAAATGGGCAACATGAGGCTGGGGGTCTGCTCCCAGATTCTGTTCTGACCAGTTAGGTTGAATAATTGGGAAATTGCTCATCCAAACATTGAAGTTAGCAGCTTGCTTACCCCAGGGATATTACACCAGACGTTGCAGTCCTGTCCACGCATACGGTGCCCCTCAGAAGGAAGCACCTCACTTTGAACTCTGTGGACTCATAGACTCCACTGTGTTGCTCTGCAGTTTTCCCTGCTGTGGGACGCCAGGCACAAGTCTGATGTAAGGGCTCAGCCAAAACCTGCTCTAGCCTGTGTCGCCACTAGTCCTTTTTCCAGTGGGCACGTCAGCTATTTCTCGTCTACGGAGAACCGTCAATAAATGATAACTGAGAAAACGTGCACTGAGGGTTCAGGCATTGTTCGAAGGACATCACGTGCTAATCCATGTTCATGACATAGATACTATTTCCAGACCCATTCTGCAGATAAGGAAATGGAGGCACAGGGCACTTAAGTACGTTGCCCAAGGCCATATGACTCGTAAGTGCTGGAGCCAGGATTCCAAGCTTGGCGGTCTGTCTGGGGCCTGAATTCTTAACCCCTGGGTCCTGTGGCCACTCATGCAGTCTAAGCTCACACCCTGCGCGATGTGCTGGTAAGGGCAGTCGCCCACCTTCCTTCAAGAGGGGATGCACTGACTCTCAACTCTCCTGCAGCAACAGCGCTGCCTGCAGCAGTGCGGTGAGGAAGCCTGCCATCTCCCTGGCCGACAGCACAGACCTGAGGTGAGGCAAGCAGCAAGCCTGGGCTCCCTGAGCTTCAGCCGGAGAACGAGAGCAGAGCAGAGCGGGGTGTGGGAGGGTGTCTCTGACTTTCCTCCCTGAGTGTGGCTCCTTCTGTGCACCCTGCACACTGCTGCAGGTGTGCTGTCTCAGTGTGTGAAGAGTTGGCTCTGCTGAGGGCTCTCACTGTGGGGCTCAGGATTGAGACTCCCAGAGGCAGTCCAGGGTCAGGCCACTTAGAGCCACAGTGATGTAGGGCTTCCAGCCCACACCGCTCCTGAGAAGTCAGTGCGGGCATATTATGTTTGGACAGACACAGCGTGGCTCTTTGGGTCCCCCTTCTGTCGCACACTTTGACCTCCATCTCTTTAGGATTAGTCCCGACACCTTTATGATATTCTGTGGCTACGCAGGAAACAATAGCAGCTACTAAAGGAGATTACATTTCTCTCTTTGGGAGGAGTAACATCTGTCTCTGTGAACCTGGAAGCTTTCAGACTGGTGTAGCTAGGGTGTAGCTAGGGTCCCTGAGTTCCACCCTCTTCACTCCTGCTTTCCACTCCGTCCTGGCAAACTCTGTGTGTTCTCATACTCACCTCTCCTTCGACCAGCACCCTTTTCCATAGCCCACTCCCACCTCTGTGTTTTTCGTTCCAGGAAGCTTTGGGCTTGTGGCATTCTTGTTCATGTTCTTTCATCCAGAAGCCATTTATTAAGCACCTGCTTTGAGCACTTTCCTAGCCACTGGAGGGGCAAAAGAGAGTAAGATCTGTCTTACCTCAGCCACATGGGATGGTGACGGAGGCATCAAGAGGGCGCTGTAGGGTTTGAGTTCTCTCTGGGTTTCAGGGCCCCCCCCCCACAGGTGTTTCTCATGTTAGCTGGGATGTGAGGAAGCCGAGGGTGACCCCTGACCCGCTATCCTGCTCTGTTATGAACTGACTTGTCCCCAGGGTCCTGCTCAACATCATGTACCTCATCGTGGAGACTGTCCACCAGGAGTGTGAGGGTGATAAGGCCGAGTGGCGGACCATGCGGCAGACCTTCAGGGCTGAGCTGGGTAGGACTTTGGGGATCCTGTCCGGAGGCGCCCAGCCTGGGAGCTGAAGAGGGTGGGCTTTGGGTAGGGCCCGTTCCTCCCGTGGTCCTGATCCTTTGTGTCACTACAGGTTCTCCGCTGTATAACAATGAGCCATTTGCCATCATGCTGTTTGGGATGGTGACCAAATTTTGCAGCGGCCATGCCCCTCACTTCCCCATGAAGAAAGTTCTCTTGCTTCTCTGGAAGACAGTGTTGGTGAGCCCTTCTTATAGGGAAATTCGGGTGCTAGGAGATAGGCAGAAGGGAGACTTGTCTGTATATCCTTTGGAATACTGAATTATGTGATTATTTAACTGGCTTGATTTTAAAAAAATTCTAAAGAAGCCTCCTAGAAGATGACACAAAAGTGACACGGCTGGCTCACTGCAGCCACAGGGGACTTGGCCTTTGAATCAGAATTGATCATTGATTTCTAGTTTCTGGAAGCTGTTTTCTGCAGCCATAGGCCACCTTCTCCCCAGACCAGCTGCTCTTGAACCTGAAATTTGTAGTCACTTGAGGCAAAATAAGAGAGCAAGGGTGAGCGCTGAGTCTCCATTTTCCTTGGCATGATAGGAAACCAGACTGTTTGTAGCCAGGAAGGGGTGGGTGCCAGGTGGGCTGACCAGCTCTTTTGGCCGGGGAAGCAAGCCCTGGTCAAATCAGGACCCTTCCTATCAGGAAGAGCAACCTGGGGACAAAGTGGAGCTGGGGTTGGACCTCATCTCTCCCCGGGGTTCACACTCCCTTCTGTCAGGATGGGCTGACTGCCGAGTCAGACCTCAGTGAGCGCAGGGTCTCCTTGGAGTGTTCTACACATTTTTATCTTGCCCAAACATCCTGTTCCTCGTGAAGCCTCACTGAAGCCAGAGAGGAAAGCTGAATTGCTCAGAAAGAGTGAAACTAAGTGACCTAATATTGCTGAACACAACTGGGGTTGGCTTTTGGGCTGTGTTTAGATGAAGATTTTATAAAAAAATTTGTCCAAAATATATCCCCAGTTTGACTTTGAAAGACTGACGTGTACAACTTTTAAAACAGGCGTCTCGGGCCTCCCCGGTGGTGCAGCGGTTGAGCGCTGGGTTGCGAAGCTGCCCGCAGCCTCTGTGGCGCCGGTTCGATCCCCGGCTGCTCCCCGGCCACCGGAGGAGGGTCCCACATGGTGCGCAGACCTCTCCTGCCGCCCGCTGCTCCCCTCAGCAGTGTACTTCGGTCCCTCTGCCTGCTCTGCTCCCCGCTCTGGCTCTGGTGAATTCTCTCACCCTCCTGCGCTTCTCACTGTACCCAGTGCTTGTATAAATAAATAAATAAATAAAATCTTTAAAAAATATATATATAAAAAAAATAATAAAACAGGCGTCTCACTGACTTTTCTAGGAACTGGGAGGGTTAGTTTCTTCAGTCTGCCTTTTCTTTATTTTACGAGCATGTCATACCCTCAGAGCTACATACACCTGCCCCCGCTCAGTCAGCGCGCACTTCTCTTCCCTTGCTGCTTCTCCCCTTGCCCTTGCTGATGTCGCTGAAACCTCCTGTGATTGGGTTTAGTCCCTTGTTCAGAGACTGTGTGGGCCTGGTGTCATGGGTGCTTTCCAGCCCTAGCCAGTGACCAGGGCCCTGCTGGTGGACATGTTGACCAGCGCTGCTCCCTGTCTGTGATGCAGTGCACACTGGGCGGCTTTGAGGAGCTGCAGAGCATGAAGGCAGAGAAGCGCGCCATCTTGGGCCTCCCTCCACTGCCTGAAGACAGCATTAAAGTGATCCGCAACATGAGGGCTGCCTCTCCTCCAGCATCCGCCTCAGACCTGATTGAGCAGCAGCAGAAACGGGGCCGTCGGGAGCTCAAGGTGAGGTCCCTATGCCTTCTGAGGATCTCAAGACACACATTCGTGGTGGCTTGGTTGCTGGATGATCCCAATTTATAGTGGGTTCTTGGAATGGGGCACTTTTGAGGAACTGGGACAAGCAGTGACAGTTGGACCCAGACTTGATTCTCTGCTGCTCTTGACCATCTCCTCAGCACCTTTCTCCCTTGTAGCCATTCCAGCCTTGCTTTTTTGTTTCGTCAGTTGGCTGTCACCATCTGATCTCCCTTCCTTCAATTCTCAGGCTCTGATAAAGCAGGACAACTTGGATGCCTTCAATGAGCGCGATCCCTACAAAGCTGATGACTCTCGAGAAGAGGAGGAGGAGAATGACGATGACAACAGTCTGGAGGGGGAGGCATTCCCCCTTGAGCGGGACGAGGTGATGCCTCCCCCACTGCAGCACCCCCAGACCGACAGGCTGACCTGCCCAAAGGGACTCCCGTGGGCTCCCAAGGTCAGGTAAGTCTCACACAGACCTCCAGAATGTTCTTTGCTCCTTAAATCTGAGTCACCACATGAGGCTCTCTGCAGAGCAGGACTTGACTCTGGAGCTTGGGGAGCAGACCTTGTCGCCTTTCACAAAGGGGGTCTTGTGTGGGTCTTGAGTCTGCTTTTGTTGAGAAATGATGCTTGCAAAGGGGATAGAAACACTAAAACCAAGGACACTTAATGCAAACCCATCTGCGCTCACCTGGGGTGGTTTCTGGACTAAGGAAGGGTTTCTTTAGAACCGTCATTCACGTGTTTCAGGTCTGTGTATGTGAAGCAATGGATGGAAAGATCCCTGGCCGTGGATAAATGGTGTCTGTTTGAAAGGCACCAACTTAATAGACAAACACGGAGGGACAGAGAAGTCACTTTCTTGATCCCGGCCCCGCTTTTCAGTGGTTAGTGATAGGAATGCAACACATGTCATCAGAGGACACAAGATAGGCTGATTGTTTGAGCTAGGAAGATGTGTCCCCTATAAAAAAATCAGTGGCTGATAGCTGTACTTGTAAAAATTTTAAATATTTGAGAAATTCTGTTGACAAACTTAATTAGTATTTGAATAAATTACACTTTTAAGTTTGTTATATCATTTTAATTGTATGAGTAACTAGTTATACATAATATATTTTTCAGGTTATTGATCTAACAACATTATGAAGGACGTTAAATAAGCTGAAGAGTTCAGTATTTTTTCTTTATTTTCAAAAAGATAACACATATTGGGGGAGACTTTTTCTTCTGGTTTCACCATTTCTGGATAGTCTGTGTTTTATTAATCTGACTCATGAAATGACACTTAGTAAAAATCTTGCTGTTTTTGTTTCTTTTCTCTGTTTCCAGAGAGAAAGACATTGAGATGTTCCTCGAGTCCAGCCGCAGCAAGTTCATAGGCTACACTCTGGGCAGGTGAGGGTGATCTGAATTCCCTTTGAAGAAAAGTAACGAGAAGTTCACTCTCTGGCCTTTGGTGTTTGGAGAAGAGGTGAAGGGATGTCTGGGCTTAACACAGGGCCTGCTTTATTTTCCAGCGACACGAACACTGTGGTAGGCCTGCCCAGGCCAATCCACGAAAGCATCAAGACTCTGAAACAGGTAGGTGACTTTGAGCTTTTGGCCTGGTTTGGTCCCAGGTGAGTAAAGTGAGACAGACCAGCCTCTTGGGAGAAGCCTTTGAGGGTGTCTGCCCAAAGGAAGCTGGGATGGAGTCGAGGAGGACTGTGGCGACACCCATTAAGACAGTCCTTCATAGGATTTACTTGTTTTCAGCTGAGCTTTTGTTGGGGGTTGGGGGTTTATTAAAGATTATACTGCGTGACAGTTGGAGTTTTAAGGGACCCAATAAGTAGCCCTCCCTTTTCCTTGCTCAAGTTTGAAGGCACACATACAGGAGTAGGTAGGTTGAAATGCCAGCTTTCTTGCTCGCACAGCGACTGGAGAGGGAGGTGTCCCAACACCGCACGTCCTGTATTGGGTGGACTGACTTCCCCAGTCCCTGGTGGTGCCTGTGCTCTGCTATGCCCGGTGGAGGAGCAGGGAGAGCACAGGCTTTTGTTTCTTTCAAAGGGAAGGAGAAGGAGGCTGGGCTGAGAATGTCCTGTTCCTCCTCCTCTGCTCACCAGTCGGTGAGGGCAGGGCTGAGTATGAGAGGGTGGGGCGAGACCAGGAGTGTTTTGCACATGTTTGTACCTCCCTAAGGGAGAATATTGAGCGTGGGGGTGTGGAGGGGGAGGCATCTCCCCTAACCACATATCTGGAGTGTAGCTGTTTGTTTTTGAAGTAGATTTTTTTTAATTTGTAGTGCTAAGTGGTCTCCCTGCTTTATGAGTATTCAAGTACTTGATTCTTAGTAATTGAGTACTTGATCTTGCTCTTAATAGTTTTTGTCATGTCATTATAGTTTTTTTTTTTTTTAAGATTTATTTTTTATTTACGCATACAAGAACTGGGGTGTAGGCCAGGGGGGTGAGAGGATTCAACAGAGACAGAGTGGGGAGTAGAACAGGCTGACTGACTGAAATACACTGCTGAGGGGAGCTCTGCCATGTGGGTCAGCTCCCTGGCTGGGGATCAAACTCATGCCGCAGTGGCTGCTGTTAGCTTTATAGTGCTGAGACTTTAACCTCTGCACCACCAGGGGGGCCCATAGCATTATATTTTTCTGAAAGTCCCTTCATTGCTTTTAATTTGCTTTTCTCTACTCTGTGTTTTACACTTAGAGATGTTTTAGGTTTGGGAATTTAGTTAGTCTTAGCTTCTGAGAAGATGGTGATTAAAGAACTTGTGTGGGGTCTTTGCCAGCCGTGGGGAGTTTGGCCAGAGAATGAGAGCTGTTTTGCCCAGTGCCTTTCCCTTCTCTCTCCAGCACAAGTACACATCGATTGCAGAGGTCCAGGCGCAGATGGAAGAGGAGTACCTCCGCTCTCCTCTCTCGGGGGTGAGTTGAAGCCTTCTTCAGCCACAGGATCCCTAGCTGTTCTCAGGCACTGTACTGGGCCAACACCCCCCAAATACCCCAGACCCTGTGGTCAAGAAGTTCCTGGTTGAATTCCTGATTGGGGGGTGGCATATGTCTAGTGCAGAAGGTCAGGGCTTAGACTTGTGCCAGTCACCTGCTGCAGATTCCCCACCCACTGCCTAATGGGCAGCAATGTAGGCAAGTTTTAGGCAAGTTAATGTATTTCTTTGTGCTTTAATTTCCTCACCTGGATAACGAAGTCAAATTAATGCCTTCTTAGAACAGAGTTGCCTAAGAAGTAACTAAAGTTACTATATGTAAAGTGTGTGTTGGCTATAATCATCAACATTGAGAGATATATTTATATATTTATATTTACAGACTCTCCTCCAACCAGCTAGTAAGCTGGCCCAGGAGGTGGTTGTCTGGACTGGGGTTTTCTATTTGTGCCTATTGTGTTGAAAGGGAGAAGAGGAGGTTGAACAAGTCCCCGCAGAAACCCTCTACCAAGGTTTGCTCCCTAGCCTGCCACAGTACATGGTGAGTGCTCTGTGTCTGGGACCCCTCAGTGCTGTCAGCAGGTACCTGTGATGACCTTGGCCTGCCCACTACCCTGGCAGGTCCCCCGCCACCCCTCTCCCTGCCGCCAAGCACCTGTAGGAGGCCTGCCTCTTGGCAGTGCTGCTCCCGGACACTCAGATGTATCTGCATGCCCTGCTCTTCCCCAGATCGCTCTGCTGAAGATCCTGCTGGCTGCAGCTCCCACCTCAAAAGCCAAAACAGACTCAATCAACATCCTCGCGGATGTCCTGCCCGAGGAGATGCCGTGAGTACCCTTCCTGTTAGTGGAGCAGGTCAGGACAGCAGGGTAGAGGGGAAAGTGGGCATGTTTTCCTTCTGTCCTGCTGTTTGCTAGGCTGGCTGTGCCTTTCTGGCACACCACCTCTGCAGGTTAAGTTTAGGGTATTTCTGGCTCAAGAGAAAAGAAAATATACTAGATTAAATATTAAGTTTTACTAGAGATGACAGTCCATTTGGCCTGGATTCTGGTGTAAAATTTGCTGAATGAATACCTGAGTGAGTTGGGGAAAGGCATTTTCTCCTCACTAAGACGGATTGGGCCAAAAGCTGTATGACAGGGATACCCAGGATGTGTCGGCTTAGCTTCCAGACAGTCTGCCAGCCAGCAGCCTAACCTGAACCGGGTGTGGATGCTTTCCTGTTCCTGTGAATGTCTAGGGTGGTAATAAATTCCTTAAGGTTTCTTCCTCCCTGGAGCACTGAGTCAGCTCTTTGATGAGCGAACAAACAGATCATGATCTACTTTGAGAAGGACCTAGGTCTTGACCTGAGCCTCCTGCCCGCCTGCCTGCCAGCACCACCCAGCTCCCTGGTGACTGGGCCCCTTGAGTCTGGGTGTGACAGCCAGGTGGGGGAGGAGACGGGGACTGACTGATAGCAAAGGGAGTGTCACAGAACTCTAGGCCATCATAAGGCCCTTGGAAAAGGTTCACAGCCAAATACTTTCTTTCCTCTTTTAAATATTTAAGGCGATAAGTCCTAAGTCCTGAATTATGAATCTGATTTAGCTTAACGCTTCCTAAATTTATCTGACTTCCCAAAATCTTTTCCCTGTAGCATGAAACATCTTAGTGTACTGGTATGCCACACACACACACTTTGAGAATCGCAAGTTCATATGGTGGCAGAAGCTCAGGGGAGGTCTCAAAGAGGAGAAGTTCACTTTTGTAGGAGAAAGAGGGATGTAGACGAAGAACGTGTTTGGGGCATAATGGGAAAAATTGTGCTGAGCTAGACTGCCTGGGAGGGGGGTTGAAGGAACCCTGGGCCTGGCGTCAGATGTCCAGGAGGTGGTTGGTGAGATGGGAACCTTTGCACAGAGAAGGCTCAGGAATATGTCTGTGCTGTGAGCACCCAAGCAGGAAGTGTGTGTGGCGCTCACTCTGGTAAATTGTGTTTCCAGCACTACGGTGTTGCAGAGCATGAAGCTGGGCGTGGATGTGAACCGCCACAAAGAGGTCATTGTTAAGGCCATTTCTGCTGTTCTGCTGCTGCTGCTCAAACACTTTAAGTTGAACCACGTCTACCAGGTACTTTCGGGGCCTGCCTTCCCAAAGTCCAGAGGGTTAGGGCTCAGACCTTGCCTTTCAAACCCTTCGACTTCTGCACGAATGTTCTAAGGCAGTTTTCTGACCAAAGCCTTTCTCACAGGACAATAGAAGGTCACGTCCCAAGGACCATGCTTGTTTTTTTTCTGTTTGGTTTCAGTTTGAATACATGGCCCAGCACCTGGTATTTGCCAACTGCATCCCTTTGATCCTAAAGTTCTTCAATCAAAACATCATGTCCTACATCACTGCCAAGAACAGGTGATAAGCACCAGGGATCAGGAAGGGGTGGGTATGGCCAGACGGCTGGGCTCCCATCTGGCTTCCCCCTTAAACCCCTTCAGCACCTATAAGCCAGCACTCTGTCAGCAACAGGCCACAAAGATGAACGAGACATGGTCCCACCCTGTGGAGAATGCAGTGTCAAATCTGAGTCTAGCTAGTGTAGTGACAGGTGACAGTCTCTACCTGGATGGTGCAGTTCTCATCCTGGACTCTAGTATTGTCCTCACGGACCTGTGCTTTTTTGGCCATGAGCACTGTGATGCACTGTCTGCTGACACCCCCCCACCCCCCACCCCCTGCTGGTGGCAGCTGCACTTGATGGTGCTTGCTCCTCAGTGATACTGCACAGGGTGAGCTGTCAGCTGGACACCGTTCTGGTAGAGGTCTGGCACCAGTTAGTTGCCTCCCCTGGGCCCGTATTTACCACTGGGGAAAAAGCAGTGGTAAGATTGCAAGCTGATCTCTGGCCACAGAGGACCCTCACAGGTTTTTCTTGTTTTAGAGCTGGGGACCAGGGTGGTACAGAAAAAAAGATGGGTTCACACTCCATTGCCTCTGAAAGGAGGACAGTAGGGCCCATCCCTGTCATAGCTGCTCTGCCAATCCCCCCACCTTTGCTTATGGCGGGGGCCTGGGTTCTGTTGCCCTCTGCAGCATTTCTGTCCTGGATTACCCTCACTGTGTGGTGCACGAGCTGCCGGAGCTGACTGCCGAGAGTCTGGTGAGTGGCTCGGCTCTGCCCAGATGTCCCTTTGGCTGGAGAGTGAGTGGTGCAGAGCCTGTCTGCCCCCTATGGGGACAGAGCTGTCTCCACAGAGCGGTTGAGTGCCTGACTTTGAGGACCACCAGGAGGGATCTTGCAGTGTGGACAGATTTGGATATAGGGATTGTCAGGAGCGTCATCTTCAAGGGCTGCTGGCCCAAGGCTCACTTGGAAACTTGCTTCCCTCTGGGCTTCAACTTGTGGGGGTGGAGCCACAGTCCCAGTGTCATGTTCCATGTTTCCCTTAGGGAAGGTTCTAGGGCACCCTCCCTTTCTTCCCACCTAGCCCCCATATCCCCCTAGCTGGGATGGGGCTCCCCCAGGCCACTTTGACAGGAGATTCCTGGTGCCAGCCTGGAGAGACCCGCAGTCCCAGAGCGTGTGTATGAGGGTCTCAGCAGCTTGAGGCTGTGATGGTTTGATGGTCCCTGGGTTTTCCCTGTAGGAAGCGGGTGATAATAACCAATTTTGCTGGAGGAACCTCTTTTCTTGTATCAATCTGCTTCGGATTCTGAACAAGCTGACAAAATGGAAGCATTCAAGGACGATGGTGAGTCAGTACAGACAGCAGGCCTGAAGCTGGAAGCTCGGAGCAGAGTGCCACTCCCCACACCTGTATTTAAGCTGAGATTCTAGTTTTGGAGTTGAATTGGGTGATGGAAGAGACAGTCAGAGGTTGTGCCAACAGTCTCTGTTGATAACATGACCAACATGTGGGAGTCTCCTTTACCCCTGAACCAGTGGCGCTGGTTGGCACGGGGAGGTCCATCCATGAATTCTCTTCAATTGTATGTGTGTTCACTAAGAATATTTCTGGGGAAGGAATTCATAGCTTTCCTCAGATTCCAAAATGACCCATGATTAGGGTGACCAGCCATCCCGGGTTGCCTGGGATGCTCCTGGCTTTGGACTAGGGAGAACTGGGGCAGTTGGACGTTGGCCATAACCTCAGTGGGGAAGCAGCACTAGGGTGGTGATACAGGCAATGTTTCTGTGCTCAACTCCTGGGCCCTGCCCCAGATGCTGGTGGTGTTCAAGTCCGCCCCCATCCTGAAGCGGGCCCTGAAGGTGAAGCAGGCCATGATGCAGCTCTACGTGCTCAAGCTGCTCAAGGTGCAGACTAAGTACCTGGGGCGGCAGTGGCGGAAGAGCAACATGAAGACCATGTCTGCCATCTACCAGAAGGTGCGCCATCGGCTCAACGACGACTGGGCGTACGGCAATGGTGAGGCTCTGGCGCCGGGCGGGGAGGGGGTGATGTCTTTCCCTCTGCCTTGAGCTCCCCTCCGAGCAGCCTGGAAGGGCCCAGCGTTGCGTGGTGGTGTCAGGATGGGAGCGCCAGGAAAGACTGAGAAGCTTCTCGGGCTTGGCTTCCGTGTAGTCGTCCATTTCTCACTCTCCCTCCTCTTGAAGTTACTCCTTTTCTAGAGATGTTCACGAGCCTCTAGCCCCTTTTTTCTCTCGCCACTACACAGGCTTTGAAATTCTTGTAGCTCCTGGTGGCTTCCCTGCCTCCCGTTTTCTCCCCTCCACCAGTGCCCAAGACTGCCCAGTGAGCTTTTCACAGTGTAGACTCGCTAGTGTTACCTCACTGGGAAGATCCTTCCTTAGCGCGCACTGTTCCTTCGCGTTAGATCCAGACTCTTAAACAAGGCAAGGGCAGCCCCTGCCCTCTTCTTCTCACCCGGGTGTCATCTGGAGCAGCCTCTTGCCACAGCCTCCCCACACCAGGTTCCGGGCACGCAGAGCACTCAGTGTGTCTCTGCCGTGTCCCGGCTCTGTTTTCTGGCAGCATGCCTGCCCCGTACCCTCTGACCACCTGCTGCCCGCACAGCTGTTCCTCCCCTTCTGGGCAACCACACCTCCTGGGTAGAGTGGTTCTCCCCAGGGCCCGGGTATGTTCCCGCAGTGATGGTTCCAGCACGTGGCCAGTGACGAGTGCACTCCCCGTGCTCCTGAGAGTGTGCCGAGCCAAGCTGGTCACTGCCTGGACAGGGAATTGAGGGAATGAGAGCAAATGAGCGGCTCCTGGCTCTGATCCCAGAGAGCCAGGGAGAAGATGACTTTGAGTTCTCTCGCATGAACTGCATGTCAACTCTCCCTAGTTCTGACTTGTATCTAGGAAAGAACTTGGTCTTCCTGAGGATGGACAGGATTTGGGGGTTTTCTGCTGCTGGCCAACCTGGCCCTGAACTGCGGTGACCCACGGGGCTGTTGCCTCAAGGCTTTGACTCCTAACCACGTCTTCCTGCTTTGTCCCAGATCTTGATGCCCGACCTTGGGATTTCCAGGCAGAGGAGTGTGCCCTCCGTGCCAACATTGAACGCTTCAACGCCCGGCGTTACGACCGGACCCACAGCAACCCTGACTTCCTGCCAGTGGACAACTGCCTGCAGAGTGTCCTAGGGCAGCGGGTAGACCTTCCCGAGGACTTCCAGATGAACTATGACCTCTGGTTAGAAAGGGAGGTCTTCTCTAAGCCCATTTCCTGGGAAGAGCTGCTGCAATGAGGCTCCTGGGCAGGGGACTGAAAAAGAAAGAAGGGGTGATCTTGAGTTCCCCAGGGGCCACGCTGGTTCACTACTGCAGTGCTGCCACCTCCCTCCAGGTGGCAGCACAGCCCCACTGTGCCCTCCATAGCCACCCGGCCTGTGGGTGCGTCCAGATTTGGCCTCTTGTTGATTCCCAGTGTCCTGCTCAGGAGCAGTCATCCCTGCTTGGGAACCTTCTTTTACTCTTCCCGCCTCTTCTCTTGGACACGGTCAGTTGCAACTCACTTCCCGATCAGCCCCAGGCTGGGGAGAGCTGGAATGGATGGGGAACCTACTGCACCTGAATTTCAGGGTCACGCTGATTTCCTCAAATGTGCAGGTCCTCGGTGTATCAGCTTGAGGAGCATTGGCTGAGGATTGGGGCCAGGGCCAGAAAGGTGACATCTTGATTTTGCTTTGAGGGGTTTCTGATGTCATTCCAGTCTGCTGCTGAATTTCATCCGGAAGCAATTGCCGAGTCTCCTACAGCTGCCTCAGCACTTTGGTTTTTGCCAGGGTTGGGGTAGGAAGAGAAGCTTCCCTCAACCAGAGGTGTCATTTTTCCTCTTGGTTTGCAAGGGTTTATAAATACCTATATATAATCTGTGTGTACTCTCGTGTCATGCTGGGGTTTTTAATGTGTTTGTGTATTCTGTTTACATTAAAAGGAAGCAAAAATAATTCTCATTTCCTTTCCTACAAGAAATAATAGCCTTAGCCTATCTTATCAGGTCTAGAAGTGGATTTTCTTGCCAGCATTGTTAGGTCACCCACTTGTTCCTGCCAAGTTGCCCTGCCTTCCTACCCAAGGGGGAGACCTTGGGGGTGGTGCTTATCCATAGTGCTCTCTACCCACATCAGTCTGGATGGCGCCAGCCCAGCTCAAGCCCTGGGTTGCTGGAGTGACAAGTTGCCCGGCACCCATGAGTTTGATATAATTGCATGAGGAGCCCCAAGTCTGGCTGGATCTTAACCTTGAGCTGGCCTCAGCCACACCAGTTTCAATGCTCGGGAGGGGGTAAGGCAAGAGGGGTGTCACCTGTTCTGGGCCCTGACTGGGACAGGTGGTTAGGAACTTGGGTGTCCAAAGCCTGGGAGGCAGACGATCAGGAGCTAGCTTCCCAGTGGGAGTGCTGGATGAACTGGGAGCCCCTCTGGCCGTGGGAGAAGTAAGGAAAGCCTTTGGGGTTGGAGGCCTTCTGGAGCCTTCACCTGGCCTTCAGCACCCTGGTCACATCTGCCTCTACCTCCTTCAACCTTGAGGCACCACTTCTGAAGAGGTTAACACTCTGAGGCTGAGAAAAGGGGGTGTTCCATTTTCAGAATTGCTTGATACCTGTCTTCCCTAGAGGCCCTGTGGATGGGGTCTTAAATCTCCAGGGTTCTTGACATGCAAAGGAAATGTATTCTGAGGAAATTCTCCCTTTTGTTGGTTCTTTGGTTGAGTGCCTTCCTGGATCATGCTGAGCTTCAAATCCAGGGCCTGAGCTGGACCTCCAGGACAAACCTTGCCTGCCAGCGTGGTAAGGAGCAGCAGGGGAGCCGGCGGCGGTAAGTCACAACCCATGAGACAGGCCATCCCATCTGATTGGCCTTTGGCCCCTAAGTAGCTTGCCTGTGACAGGGGGATGTCACATAATTCATGTGTGGTTGATGGATTTTCTGCTGTTTCTTGTCAGGACAAATAGGAAACATTTACCTTGAGATTGCAACTTGGGCAGATGGACTTTCCTGTTCTTACTCCATCGGGCAGTTGTGCCTACTGAATTAGCCTGACTGAGGCTGTCTGCCTTTTCCTTTTTTTGATTTTCCCAGTCTCCCCTCTGAGGCTTCCCTTAACCAGAGAGGCCATTTCCACCCTTGGTTTGCAAAGATCTGTAAATCTCTCCATATAAACCTGTACGGGGAGCACATAAATATCAAAGCTGCAGGGCCCGAAGCCTGGCGGTGGAATCCCTGCGCTGCCCAGGGCTATCCGCTGGGGAGGCGCCTCACAAAGGACACTGAGTGTGCTCGCAGCTGTTGGCCACTTGAATCCAGGTCCTTGTACAACAGTATCTTCTGAAACAAGAGGCCACCCCAGCTCCGGCTTTCTCTCACCTGGGTCATGAGATGGGCAGGATACGTGAAGACCGTGGTTGTGTTATATGAAGTGTGGACAGTCACTAACCAGACTCGGGGTCCATTGCTCCTTCAGGCCACTGTGGCATGGATTAGCCCGTGGCTGTATCACCCTGAGTGGGACTCGTCCCTTGTTAACCCAGAGTTCCCATGTACTAAGTGCCAAATAGGTGACGAGCACAATAGCTTCTTCAAGGCTCATTTTCTTCCACACAGTCTGTGCGTGTCAAGTCCTGCTATGTGCCAACCACTGTTCTCTATCTTAACACTTAACCCCGAAAGGAAGGTACCAATATAATCTCTATTTTGCAGATAAGAAACCTGGCTCAGAAAGGGTAAAGAACCTGCCCAAGGTCACAAAATACTGAGAAGCAGAGTCAGGATTCAGTCTCTGTAAAGTATACCTTCACCCCCAACACCACTCCCTTTCTCTTCAACATTGCTGCTCCCCAGCACTACACCAGTGCATTCATTTGCTCCTTTATCCACCTTAGTCAGTATTTAGTATTTGCTCAAGCATGCATGGCAGGAAGTGTCTTGGCAAATATCAGTTGCTTTAGGCCCTAACACCATCCAAGCTTGGCCGTGGCCTAGACTCTGGTATGCCCAGAATATGCCCTCCTGAAGGCTACTTGGGGCTATCACCGCTGCTTCTCTCCCTCAGCTAGAGCTTGAGTGTCTCTCCTGGGTCCCTGGGTCCCGTGCCTCACCTGTTGCGCTTCACCTGGGAGGCTGGCTTCCTGGACTGACTGCTTGAGAGGCAGTAGCGGGGCCATGCACTTGGCACTTGGTGTGGTCAGCCACCCCTGGCTATGAAACGGGGCTGTGCCCTTTAGGAGTGAGACAGCCCCAACTTTCGGTGCAGGTTTTGACTTTTACTCATTGAGGAATCTTAAGCTCTAAATCTCAGTTGACTCATCTGTTTAAATTGGGTTTCATACCATCATGGTTTCAACACATCACGACTGAGGGTTGAATAAAAATGGGTAATGGATGTACATACTGGACTAACAATGCGACTTACAAATGGCAGCTATTCTTACTATTGCTAATTCCTTCCACCCCTAACCGGTGAATTTGCATCCATTTCCTGTGTCCCCTAGAAAGAGACCTGTCCCCAGCTCACTGCTCTAAATACAGAGGCCTCTTAAGAGTCAGGCACTTACGTAGCAATCCTGCTGACATACCTTGAAGGTCTGATTGGGGCGAGGCCCTATTTTAGGGGCCTGAATGTCCAGGTGAACACCCACACTTCTCTTGAGTAACGGTTGGATGGACAAATGGCAATAGAAGCAAGTAGCTGGGTAGGTGCTGAGTCAGACATCCTGTAGGGCCACACAGATCCCATGGATCCCAGCCAGCATGGTCCTGGTTGTGGGGAGTAAGGGAGGGTGTTTGCAGCTGAGCAGCGAGGGGCTCCAGCATTAGGAACAAGGGTTCTTAGAGTAGATACTTTGTGTTCACTGCCTACTTGGTAGAGATGGTGGCATGAGGCTGGGGCAGGCCTGAAGCTCCCCTCCCACTGCTGGACACAGGTCATGCCCAGTTCCTGGTAACCTGGATGGTGCTGGCTAGGGCTACGGAGGATCTGCACTTCAGAGTTGTAATTCAGGTGAATGTGTAAATGGCTGGGGGTGGCAAGGAAGGAAGATTAGATGCTTCATATTAGAAGCATTTCCCAGTGGCAGGCTAGGGTGGGAAGCTTCTGAAGGACCCTGCTGCTAGGACCCTCCAGTCCAGGCCTGGTGTCCATGTGCCTGCCAGGACCAAGATTAAGGCCTCTGGAATCTTTTCTGGAGCGTTAGCAGAGGGAGATTCAAGCCTAGCAACTTAAAGTTGTGTTTCAGGTGGGGCCACTCTTTTTCCAGAGGGGTGGCCAGAGCCCCAGCCTTGGGGAAATAAGGGCCCTGACTGAGGTCGCCTCTGGTGTGAGGCTGGGAGCAGGGGCAGCTGGAGACCTGGGGGCTGTGTCTCCACAGCGGGAAGCACAAGACGTGGGGGAGAAGAGGAGGATGGGAGGGCAGCTAATGGGAAGCAGGTGGAAGGGCTGCCCCAGTCCCAGCCAGGGGACAGACTGGGGGATGGCCCAGTCAATGGGAGAACCCGTCAGCTCACAGATAATCCCCGGGAACAGGCTCCGGGATGCCCATTCATATTCATTATGTGTGAAGTGGGTGGTTGTAAAGTTAGCTTTCTCTTCATTTAGCTGTCACAGGACAGAAAAATATGAGCTGTGGGCAGATGCCCCTGGACGGGAGCCAGTAGCTGGTCCCTGGCCTCCCGGACCCTCCCCCACTCAGCCCCCCAGCACAGGGCCCGCCTCTCCCTCTCTGGCAGCGCTGATGCTCCCTGGCCGGACTGCTCGTCTTCCCCATGCCTGCTTCCTTTGCTTGGGCTTTCACAGGTCCTTCCGTCCTCTGTCCATCTCTCCAAGCTGTGAAAGTCCTCTATGCTCTTCTTGACCCTTGACCTTTGCTCTATCTCTGGCACCTAACACAGTGCCTGACACAGAGCAGGCACTCAGATATTTGTGAAACGAACTAATCTCTCTCTGCATCTCTGACTTTTTGTGAGACCGAAAGTCCAAGATTTTGCTGGCCACCCCTTGGGTGAAGTAACTGGTGGTGTAGTGGGCTGAGCCCTGGAGTTAGAAATACGGACCTGAGCCCGTTTGTTATTGAGGAGCTGGGTGAAGGTGGTTCTGTTCATCAGAGGTCCCTGGGGTGCCTCCCCTACTGCCCGGGCTCTGCCCCTCCTGCCGGACACGGCCTCCCACCTGGACCTCAGGGCCAGCACCAGGACAAAGAGAAATCTCCAGAGATTAGGGCCTGGAGGAAAGGAAGCATCCTCTGGGCGTGCTTGAGCCTCGTCACAGCGAGTATCTTGGCCAGGAAACCCAGTCCACGGAGGACCAGCGCTCTCCCTGAGAGACGGCGTGCTGCCCCAGGTCTCTGGTTTGGGCCTCTCTGCGCCTGAAGAGGCGGAGCTGGGTGACTGCTAGCCGAGGCTGAGCTTTGTGAGCAATGTGGTTGTGTTTACTGGGAAGGTGGGAGGGCCAGGCCTGCTTTTTTCCTGCCTTCCAGGCTGCAGATAAGGCAGAGCGTGGGGCTGAAGGACAGAAAGGGTAATACTCCGAAACCACAAGAAAGAAGAGTCCTGGCTTTTGTCTCTGCCCCACAGCTCAGGCACGCTCCTGGGGCATCTGGGAGAAGGGAGCTGCCCCACCCCCACCAGCATGTGGGGCCCTCAGCGCCTCTGTAGTCTCCCCCATCTTCCTTTCCACCTTCCTTCCCGCGGGCAGCTCGGCCACAAGCTTATCTCTGTTTCCTCACTCCCCTTCCCGCCCCCGGCTTTCCCTTCCACCTGAGCCCAGCAGCCCTAAGCTGGGTCCTACCCCGCCACCCCCCACGCCCCACCCCCTTCTCCCCTCCCCAGCTGGGGCCACAGAAGCCCCGAGCAGGCCATGGGGCCACCATCCCCTGCCTCTAAGATCCGTGCTGGCCCCGGGGCCTGTACAGACCAGCTCCAAAGTGCCAGACCCAAAGGAGACAGTCAGCTGGTCTAAAAAATATTGCCACCTTTTTATTATGCTGGGCAGCACTTTTTTTTTTTTTTTTTTTTTTTTTTTACAAAAGTAGTTTTACAAAAGGTGGGGTCAGGATCTCAGGGGCTCAGAGTCAGAAATCTGTTTCCTCCCTCCCATGATCAGTGAGTGAGCCAGGGGAGCCATGGTGTCCACAGCATAGCTTGGCCTCATCCCATGAGCAGAATGGAAATATTTCGTTGTTGCTGGTGGGACTGCCGACCCTTGGAGGGGGCGGATGGCTCCGTGCCTGTTTCGGGAGGAGTGAGGGATGGCTGCAGCAGGGGAGCCGGACCTTCCACCGACCTCTGGCCTCCAGGCCCTTCTCACCGCCACACGCTGGGTGTCCACCCCCTGGTGGCAGCAGGGGGTGAGGTTGGCCTACAAGTTGCTCCTCCTGGTTCAACCTGTGTCCTCCCATTTCCCTGGGTTTCCTGAATGAGGAGCCAGTTCAGCTGTTTCCGCTGGAGGAGTGACTTTCGAAGGAAGCTGGGCAGTGTCCTTCTCCAGCCCGGAGTCTGGGTGAGAGGCCCCGAGCTGTGGCAGAGGGTCCAACCTGCTTTGAAGCCCCCTTCCTCCTGAGCAGCCCCATCTTGTCCTAAGAGAAAAGGGACTTGTTCCCTGTGGAGGCTGAGGTCCCTGCTGCTCGGCCTGCACCTTCAGGAACCATGTGGGGCTGGGAGGCCGAGGAGTGTCCTCTCTGGCATCCTGGCCCCGCGGGGTGGGAGCAGCTGGGAATGGAAACGGGGGTGGCAGCTCAGTCTGTGTGTCCACGAGACGATCACGTGGTCCAGTTCAGCAGGCTGGGCGGCTCCTTGGGCTTCACCCTGAGCGACACGAGACTTGGAGACTTATAGTCGCCATCCGGGGAAGGCTCAAAACTGTGGCCCCCCAGGGCAGGGGAAAAGCCGTGAAGGGAGTAGATGCCAGGGTGGGCTCTGGGGGAGGCTGGCACCCCCATGAAGCCAGCCACATTGCCGTGAGAGTGAGAGTATGGAGACATGCATGGGGAGGGGATGCCCTCTGGAGACACGAGGCAGGGGCCCCCAGGGCTGCCAGACCCTGGACTGGGCCACAGGGAGTTCTGCAGCTGAAAGAGAGAAAGATGGCCCATGATCAGCACCCCAAGCGCTGCTCCCCTTCCCTGGGGGCGCTCTGCCCTTAGGGTTCCACACACTTTCCAAGAAGCCTCCTCTTTTTTTTTTAAGGGGTTCCCCCAACCAGCCCAGGCATCAGCACCACCTTGTCTGTGGTGTTCCACTGGGCCCTGCAAATCCTGCCTTATTGCTAACTGAGCTGGGGCCACCTTAGGCAGGCGCTGAGGTTGTGGGGGGGGGGTGCCTCCTGCCCTGTCACTCCAGGGGTCTGTTTGCAATTCCAGCTCCGCCTCCTGCGGGGGCAAAGACATCTCCTCTGGCCTGGTCTGGAAGCCACTCCCTCCCGCGCTGCACACTGTCAGTGGCCACTGCCACTGCTCAGGAGGCGGTTTCTTTGTTGAGTCCCTGTTTGAAGCTCCGCGTGCATCATTCACGAGACAGGTGAGATCCCCATTTTGCAGAGGAAGGAGCGATGTAACCACATATCTCAGCCCCACTGCCGCTACAGGGACCAGAGCCCCTCTTCTTGCCGCCCTCCCCAGGGGACACCCAGGTCCTGGCTCACCTGGGGGTGGCTGTCCGTGCGGGGCAGCACGGAGATGTCATAGGCCGACGTGAAGGGGTTCCGCCCGTCCTGGATCTTCCCGTAACGCTCCCGCTTCCGCCACTTGGCTCTGCGGTTCTGGAACCAGACCTGGGGGCCGGTTGGGAGAGGCGGAGAGGGTGCTGAAGCAACCCCAAGCGTGGAGCTGGCAGTTGTGTCCTGCAGGCTGGGGAGCTGGCTCTGGGCCGGAGGGGCTTGAGTGGTAGTTTAGAAATCTACGTCGTTCTCAGGGGCCCCCTGGAGGGCCTGGGATGGGGCCTGGGAAAGACCCAAACCCAGCCAGGGTTTATTGACCTTATGGGCCACCCCCACACAACTCCCCTGCTGAGTCGCTTTCTGGGGTTCTCCAACGTGGTTCTCTAGGAAAGCTCGTGGGAGTCCATGGCCTCAGAGGCCCCAGGTGCTGCCTAAGTGTGCCAGTGCACGTGTGTGGGCTTTCTAGCCCTCCTGCCTCATCTCCTGCTCGTCTCCCCACCACATGGATGTTAAAGATGTATCTGCCAGGTCCTGGTCCTGTCTGAGCCCTCGGTGGCTCCCCGGAGACCTCAGGCGGAGCCCAGCTCCTTCACAAGCTCCTGTGGCCTCCCGCCCTTCACAGCCCCATCTCCTGCCACACAACACCCCGTTAGCTGCCTCCCACACCAGCCCACCTTTGAAACACTCCCTGCCTGTGTGACGGACCCCTCCCTCCACGTCCATCTGAGCCGGGCACCCTCCCTGGCATCTCACTGTAATCCCACGTGCCACCGGCGTCATCTGGTGTGTGAGAGCTCTTGGCTATCTGTGTGTTGTGCGCATATCTGAGATGAATTTGTTGTTTGGTATCCGCCCTGTGACTGTGACATGTAAGTGCACTGCGGCATGTGTTTTGCATTTCTATCATTTAATAAACACTTATGTGTCAGGCTCTGGACTAGACATTGGCAATATCAAGCCCCACCAAACCAGCCACAAACAACAGACTTTTAGGGATCAAGCTGGGAGTGCCAACAGAGTAGCCGTGTGTGTGTGTGTGTGTGTGTGTGTGTGTATGTGTGTGTGCGTGCGTGTGTGTGCGCGCGCGTGCGTGCAAGAGAAAAAGAGAGAGAGAGAGAGAGACCTGCCCTTGGCCCTCACATCTGCCCACTGCCCCACAGTCATTCCCACTCCAGCAGGCAGTGAGGCCCTGAAAGTTAAGGAGCTGGGCACGCTGCAGCCTCCTGACCCCAGGTCACAGAACTCCCAGAGCAGGCCTGGGGCAAGTCTAGGGGAGGGCCACCCCACCTGCCCAGCTACCTGGCCTGTCTTTTTCTACTGTCCCTCCCCTGCAGGCAGATGAAGAAGCCAGGAGCCGATAAATCTGATCTCTTTACTGGGAGTGCTTCCCTGTCACCCCTATTCTCGCCCAGAGTCCTCTGTGCTCTGGACCTGCCCTCTGCATAGTCCAGTGTGTAGTCTTAATAACCCCCTCCACGGGTGGGCCTATGGGTGGGTGTCAAGCTCCCGTCACAGAAAACGTCCCTACTCATCTCAATCATCGGGGAGGCTGCTGGGCTGGATTTGGGGCCCTGGTGGCTACCCCTCCACCCTTCTGGGGTTCAAAAGGTGTAGCACGTGAGGGGGCCAGTGTGCTCCACTTCTTCAAAGCTGTTCCATGGGGGTCGCTATTTAGACCCCACCCCACGGTCGTGCAGAAGCACCTGTGGCTTCTGTAATCTGGGGTTGTCTTGAATGCTGGACCTCCCACTCTGATGGCCCCAGGCCCTGGGCAGCCTTTGGTGACAGTCCTGGAAGCCTGTTTTGGGTGCTACCGGGGAGGAACATGGACCAGGAGGACCAGCAGAGAAGGGGAAACATCCCAAGTCCCCCGGCCTTATGCTGAATCAGCCGAAGGGCCCTCTCCGCTGGACAGCAGCTGGCCTCTTTATAGATTGGCCGGCCCGCCCCCAAGTTCTGCAGAGCTGCCCCCTGCCCCGAAGGACCCGTGCACGATGTGAGCTCTGTCCTGGCTGAGTCTCCTCTGTTTTGGAGAAGGGGATCGCCTCTGCCTTGAGGCCACCTCCTCACTTTCCCGAGAAGCTGAACCCCAAGCCCTGCTTAGGGCCGCTTTCTGGGTCGCGAGCCTGTGTGAGGCCAGGTGAAAACCACACCTTGGGCCAGACTCTTACTGAAGCCTCCTTTCCGAAGCCTGCCCCTCCCCACCCCAGCCCCGGCCTGCATTGCCCAGCTCACGTTCTTTCTCCCTCCCTCCCAACATGCCTTGCATGTGGACGGCCCTTTGCCCTTTACCCTGATTAGCAAGTGAAAGTTGCTGGACAGCTGAGCATCCCTGATCCTGAGACACCCCACCCGCAGCGGGGGGACCCTCCTACTCTGAGCAGGCATCTTAGGAGCAGCCCCACGTGAGCACAGCAAGGCACTGCTTCCCAAACGCTGCCTCCTCTGTGGTCCTCGAGAATGCTCCCTAAGCAGACAGCACCATGGCTCACTGTTCCTAAATCAGAACACTGAGGTGAGAGATCCAGGGTGTACCCCGGATCAGCAACAAAGTTGGCTTGCACACAGGACTTGGGGTGCCTGCGTGCGCCTCCACTTGGGCTGGGTGCCTGTGGCTGCAGCAAGCAGGCACAGAGGGTGAGCCCAGGAAGGTGGGCTGCCCTGTGGGGTGCTAGCGTCCCGTGGCCCAGGTATGTGGTGGAGGCAGCTAGAGTCCCGTGCTCAGGGCGCCCTCACCTGTACCCGGGCCTCGGTTAGGTCCGTGCGCAGAGCCAGCTGCTCCCGGGCATACACATCAGGGTAGTGGGTTTTCTGGAAGACCTTCTCCAGCTCCTCCAGCTGGAACGTGCTGAAGGTCGTGCGGTTACGGCGCTTCTTGCTCTTGTTCTTGGCCAACTCCATGGAGTCGGGGAGTCCCGGGGACAGGGGGACACGCAGGCTGGCCAGGCAGGGGCCTGGGGAGCCTTGCAAGTTAGAGGGCCCGTCTCTGGGGCCCCCTCGGCAGTCCAAGGGTAGCTGAGGAAAGCTGGCGGCTTTGGAGGCCTTCTCCTCAGCTGCAATGGAAAACACAAAAAGGAGGATGGAAGCCGAACGGGGGGTTTTGTGGGTGGAATGGAGGGAGGAGAAGAACGTGACGCTTCAGTCCCCGCCTTCCCCTTCCTTTGCCTTCCCTTCCTCCAGCCAGCCACCCTCCATGGGAGCCTGGCTTCAGAGCCTGCCTGCGGAGTCTCCCGCTGGGGAGGGGGCCCTGGGGAGCCATGTGCTCTGTGGTCTGGGCGGATCTGCTGGGGCTAGAGGGGGTTCATTTCGGGGAAGTGCTGTGGGGGTGCATCCCACAGGGTGGAGGTGCCAGGATTGGCGCCAAGGCAGGGCCAAGCACAGGCACAGTAAAGTCTTTGGTGTGTGGGGGGGGCAGGAAGAGGAGGGGGTGAGGGTGAGTGGGTGACACCACCCTCCCCTGCCAGGAAGGGCCTCCTTGTGCCTTACTCTGTGGGCCTTGGTTCCCAGGCCCTCATGGCCACACCCCTGCCCTCAGGATCAGGCAGGCAACTGTCAGGGATGCTCAGTCCACCTCTGAGCTCATTCTCTGAACCCCAAGTCCTAGGGCAATGTCCAATCCCCCCAGCCCTGTGGTATGAAGGGCAAATTGGGGTAAAGAAGCTTCCAGGAGGATTGTCTCATTCCCCCAAAAATTGTGAAGTCTGAGCACAGACTTAAGCTCCAGCATCAGAGGCAGGAGAGAGGCCTTGCTTGGAGGAGAGTTGGGGCACCGGGGTCGAAACAGAACACAGACCCCAACCCTGACATTCTCGTCGTGTCTGCCTGCCACCCTCAGGCGTCTCTGATGGCTCCTTGTTGCCCACGATTTACAAGCGGGGGGGACCTGACTGCAGCCTGGGAGCAGCTCCGAGTGGCCCCGCTCTGACACGCTAAGCCTCACTCCCTCACGCGGGAGGCTCCATGGAGCACGGCCACCATTGGCGCACGGTGAAAATAGGTCACCCTGAGCGCCCCGCCCTCTCTCCCTCTGGCAAGGACCCCCAGCAGTGTCACCATGAAATCTCAACAGTCCGCTGGGATGGCAGGAGCGCCGCCACAAAGACGCCCCACTGACTCACACAGCCCGTTCCCTGGCCCTGGGCCCATCCCCAGCGGGGGCCTGGTCCCCAGGAGGCCCAGCGAGCTGGCACCAAGAGGCAGTTTCTTCCCTGGGACTGGTGTTGGGATCACAGCTGTGTCAGAGGAGGACGCGACTGGAGACATGGCTTACGGGTGCCCACGGGTCTCTGTCTGCGCCGTGGAGGACAACGGGCAAGTTCCCTTCCTCCGGAAGGCGGCCACGACCTCCCAGGACCACCCAGACTGTGAAATAAGCTCCATGTTGTGTGTCCTGGAGGCCTGGTGGGGGTGGGGGCGGCTGCCCTCAGGGCTGTGTGCAGCCTGGGCACCAGCATCCTTCACATGGGGCAGAAAATGCTCCAGCTCCCGATTTCCACTCTTGGACAACACAGCTCAGTTCTAGGGTAATCGTAGGGAGCCTCAGTAGGAAGAAGAACTCACGGAAGTTGAACCAAATAATTGAAAATGACCAGGAGGCTGGACGGGGTCTTTTTCCCTACAGCAGACCTGAGAGTAGGGGGTCAGAGTGTGGTCCTGGAGTAGGGGTGTTAGTATCTTGGGGTCAGAGTGTGGACCTGCAAGATTCCAGGCAGAAAAGGGGTGAGAGTGGCTCAGGAATGGGTCCAGAGGAGCGCTGATGTCACTGCAGGGGGCTCCCCAAAGCTCTGGGGCTTGCTCATCTACCTCTTGGGCCCCCAGTGTATTTCCTGTCCAGCAGGATCTTCCCTGAGGAAGTGACCAGGTCTGGGGCTCTAGGACTTGCCTTCCTGACCTTAAGCCTCCCAGTTACCAAGGTCAAGGGATGAAGGACAGCAGGACTTCTCAGAACGGCTGCCCCCAAAGGGCCAAGCCTGCTGGCCTCGCATGCCTGCCCAGTCTACAGCCCTGTCAGGGACCAGAGAAATCCCTCTTCCTCGCCATTGCCCTGAGACCACCTTCCTCTACCTGGAGGATATCAGGTGGTACCCCTTCTTTTTGGGAGAGAGGGGTGTGCCTCATGGAACACCCTGAGGATTAGGCTCAGGGTGTTAGCCTCAGCCTCCTGAGGATTAGGCTCAGAAGAGCAGAGTGGGAGGTGGGATAAATGGAGGGCAGGAGCCAAGGAAAGGCAGAACAGGAACAGAAACCAGCAACTGAAATCGAAGCTTGTTGGGAGAAGGTGGCTCTGTCAGGCCCAGGGCAGGTTCGCAGTGTGTACAGGCTGTGCGCAGGAGTCACTTGCACCTGGTTGGGACAGTGGGTACTAAGGGGGGGAGTACCCAGGCTGGACAGTGAGAACCTGGGGTTCAGCGCCAGGGTGTCCAAGATCTGCACAACCACAAGACCACCGAGGCAGTATGCGGGACCTGAAAGGCAGGAACCAGGACAAGGACCTCCAAGGCCTTCACGGAGCTCTGTCCATGACTCACTTCGCAAGCCCTAAAGCACTCCCCTACCCAGGAGGGCTCCCGGAACCCCTACCAGTGGGGGCTCGGATGCCACTCAGGCTTTGCTCCAGTCTCGGGTCTGGAACCCCACCGCCATTAAGGCCTCCATGGAGAGCGCAGCGGGCAGCGTTCAGCTTTTAGCCTGGCTTTCAGCGGCTTAGCTTTTAGCTGTGGGGCAGTCTTGCTCCCTGCGAAGTTCCTCAGGCTGGCGGAGGGGCTCTCGGAAGCCAGGGCTTCTGCAGCTCTGGTGGAACACCAGAAACCCATGTGCACAAAAAGCGCATGTAGGTCCCAGGGTGGAAACAACCTTGGCATAGAGATCACAGCCAGGTGTCCACGACTTAGAGCTCGCCTGGAGGTCCGCGGCCCGCCTGGTGGACGCGGCAATACGGTTATTGGCTCAGGGCCTTCGGGGCGGCAGGCACATCCCGAGGTCAGGGAGCCAAGCTGGGGCTCAGACTGGGCGGCCCCTGGCGGGACGGGAACGGCCGCCGCGCGCAGAGGAAGCGAGGGTGGCTGGCACAGTCAGGATGCCCCCGGTTCGAGAGCCGCGCAGGGCGACCTCGGCAAAGGGCGTGAGAGGAGCGCCGTGCGCCAGGCTCCCGGGCGCGCAACTGCCGGGCCTCGGCAAAGACCGTGCCGCACATGGGGCGCAGCTGCGCGCTCACTGGTCAGAACTGGAACGCTCCGGGCCCGTTATTTTAAAAAAACGATAAATAAGGCGGGGTGCCCTTTTGTGCGCCGCTTCCCTCACCAAGCGGACAGCGGGGCCAGAGCTCTCCCGGCCGCGCCTCCCTCGAAGCCCGGCTCCGCCGCGCGCCTCTCCGAGGTCGCCCCCCTGGAGGGACACGCGGCGCCTGTGCCCGCCCGGGCGGAGCGCAGGGCCTGGGCGCGGTTCGCTGAGCGGCCCGTGGCGTCTCCACCCGGGCGCGCCTGGACTCCTGCGCCTGCTTTTCGGTCGGCCTGGCCTCCGCGCAGCTTGGATCCTGCCTGTGCGTCCCCCACTTCTTCTCATGGGGCTGTTTCCTACTCTTCCAGGATGCCCTGCACCCCCCTTTCGTTTTGTCCGCCTCTTCTCTCTTCTTCTTCCCCTCCTGCTCCACGACCCGCTTCGTTCGATCTTCCCTTCGCTTTTTTCTTTTCGTTGGTTCTTCACTTATTTTCCGTCGTGCTCCGCTCGCCGACTGCTGTCCGCGTCTCCTGCTCGCTTCTGTCCTCCGCTGCTCTGTTCAATTTCCCCTTCTCGCCTCTGGCTGGCCGCTGGCACTCTGGGGTCCCCTTTCCACACATTTCGTTGTGGACACGGGCGCCCGCGCCGGCTGCCCCGCGGCCGCTGCTCCGCTCCAGCGCCCCCCGCACTTTGCGCGCGTGGAGGCCGCTCCCGGGGCAGGCTGGGGGTGGGGGGAACAGCCGCCCAGCGGGGGTGCGCGCCCGTGGGGAGGGTCCTGGCCGGCCCGACGCGCCGAGCCAGCCGGGTACCTGTCCCCGGCGGTGCTCAGGGCGCTGCGCGGCCGCCGCCGTCTGGCTGGGATCAGAGGAGCCAGGCCAACTGCTTCTCATTAAGTCCCAACTGTGGTTTTTATCAGGAGAGCCTCTTTAAAGGGCACAGACGCGGGGCTCCGCGGGCTCGCTCATTTCCTCCGCTGACCCCACACACCTCCCGCCCTCCCCTGCCCATTCCCACCGCCGGGCTGGGCGCAGGCCGGAGCTGCCCGGCCTCCCCGTGGAGCCCGCGCGGCGCGGCCCGGAGTCCAGCTCTGGCCCCAGCAGCGGGACGTGGCGGCGCAGACGGGGCGGCGCGGGCGCGAGGCTCTCCCAGGTCAGTCGGTGCCGTCGGTGCCCGCCAGGCCCGGCCCGGGCGCTCAGGCTGTTCCTGGCGGCGGCACGGCCGAGGGGCCTCGCGCGCGCAGGGCGGCGGCCCAGGAGCCCGAGGCGCCCGGGGTCACCGCCCGCCGCGAGCAGCGGGGCGCGCCCGTGGGCCCCGCAGGCGACGGCCGGGTGCGGAGGCCACGACCGTGCAGGGGCGGCCACCCCGCGCCTAGGGACGGCGGCCAGGTCGGTCTGAGAAATAAAAACACGGTTATTCTGCGTTGAGGAGGGTCCTGCGGCCACTCCCCGGGCGCCCTCCCCGCGGCGCTCGGCCTGGGGCGGGGAGACCGGCGGGGCCAGGCCGCGGCCCACGGCTCAGCCCGGCTCCGCCGCCCAACGGGGCTCAGACACAAAAGCCGCGCGTCGCCCCGGATGGGGCCCAGGGCCGAGCGAGGTGGCGCCTGGGCCCGCCGCCGGCTTCTGGGAGGGAAGCAGCTGCCCCGCGGCCCCGGCCGGGCGCGATCGCGCCTTCCCGGCGCCTTCGGACCCGAGCGGGCCCCGCGCCGCGGCCGCTCCGCCCTCCCGCGCGGCCGCTCCCTCCCCGGGGCGCACGGCTCCCGCCCGCCGCGCGGACTCGTGCCGGCCCCGGCGCCGACGGCCCGGCCGCCGAGCGGGATGCGGCGCGGGGAGGGCGCCGCGGCGGAGACACAGGCGCGCGGGGGCCGGGGCGGCGAGGCCCGGGCGGGCGGGCGGGAAGCGGGTCGGGCCGGGCTGCGCGCTGCGCCCCGCGCCGCGGTTACCTTCCGCAGGGCCCTCGTAGAAGTGGCCGTTGAGCGCCGGGCCGGGCCCGAGGTCCTGCAGGTACTTGACGGGCGGCTTGGCGGGCTCGGGAAGGTAGGGCTCCAGGGGCCCGCAGGCCGGAAAGCGGGTCAGGCGCGGGCCGCGGGGCGGCGCGGGGTGCAGGTGAGGCGCGGTGGGGGGGGTCCCCTGAGCGCCGGGAGACTCGTCCCCCGCGGCCGCGTAGGGGCCGGGCCCGGGCCCCACGCCGAAGGGCGCGCAGCGCTCGGGGTCCATGCCGGCTCGGGGCGCACAGGCCGCCGGGGCTCCGGGGCTCGCGCTGCCCGCGCGGCCTGTGAGCGCCCGCCAAGGGGGAGGGACCTGGGCGCGGGGGCGCGGAGCCCCCGGGAGCGGCGCGCGCCGCGGGGGGCGGGGGGCAGGGGAGGGGGCTGCGCCTCTGACTTAATGCAGGAACCATCCACGTCACGTGCAGCCCCGCGCCGGTTAACCCCTCGGAGTCCGGGAGCCCCCTAATTCACCCCAGCCCCCTTATCTGAGGCCACTTGAGGGCAGGGTCTCTTTTGACTGCCCGTCCTGGCGAGCGCCCCGGTCAGAGCTGCACTTTGGGTCCTGCTGTCCAGCCTACAGGCTCCAGCCTAGGGAGGTGAGGCATTTGGGGAGGCAGAGTGTCTCCCCGCCCCAGCAGACACTTTTAGGCCTGGTCTCCCGACGTGAGCCTGGAGTTAAGGGCCCCCAGGACTGCTAGGGACTGGGCTGGACTTCACGTAACTCTCTGCTGGGAGTTGGGGAAAAACGAGGCCTCCAGCAAAACCAGCTCCTTCAAAGATGTCTACTACCCTACAGGGGGAGAAATCCTGGGTGGCGCTGTGGAAAGAGCTCTCATCTGGTCTGGGGGCTGAGAAAGTTGGGCCCGGACACTGCCATTAATGAGCGGTGGGACCTTGAACCAGCCACTTAGTATTCTTATCTGACCAGGGAGTGTCCCTCAGAGGGCATTTTAGAAGCAGAGGAGGCAGAAGGAGAGATGATGGGGACAACTTGCCCCTGCATGGAGTCCAGCAGCGCGGCCTTTGGAGCAGGTGGAGGAGGACATAGAGGGTTTGCAGTTTGAACTGTGCCCATGAAGCGAGTACCTTTTAGTGGACACATGTTCTGGATGTGCCCAGGGCCCCACAGTAAAGAAGCTACCTGCAGAGCAGACCTCAGGGCTCCCTTGCCCCAGGCCTGCCATTTTGAAGGGAAGGGAGAGTAGGACCACATTTCCTAAGAGTTGGGTCTCTCCAGCCAAAAGGAGGCAGAGGATTAGGACAGTAGCTGAGAAATTCTGAAAAGAAAAGCAACTCTCACCCCATTTAAGATCTGGGAAGAAGTAGCCAAGGTCCTTAGGACCCTGTTCTCCTCTGTGGATTGAGGTGTTTCTAAATCTGGGTTAAACTGTGTTTATTTCCTGTGACTCCAGAGACTAGTGAGAAGGGCTGGGAGTCAAACATCATTTGTATTTCATTTGAATTCTCAATTTTTAAAGGAATCCAAGAGGTCTGGTGTGAACACCTCCCTCTTCCGCTGGGGGCTTAGAGGGGGTTTCTTGGCTGTCCTCAGCCTGAGTTGAGCTATAAATCAAGGCCAAACAGGAACCAGAAGCCTTGCATCTCACAAGTAGTCATTAAGCCATTATTAAACATACCGTAACTTCTCTGAAGCCTTATTGGTTTAAACACCACATTGGAGGCATTATGGCCATTAAGGCCCCTAATCACAGGCTGCAGACTGGGGCAGCGCAATGGGAGCACCTGGGGTTGGTATTTCCAGCCAAGAGGGAGCTCAGAATTAAGCTTCCTCTCTGGCCTCACCAAAAGGCTCCCTTTTTCAGGATCTAGTTGATCCAAGCTCTGGGCAACCAAACCAAAGGGATCACTTTGACCATTAATAAGGCATTGCAGTAAAAACCTCATCTCTTACTGAAATAGGGTCATGGGTACTGTTGACTTTTTAGGAGGCTGTTAGTGTCAGTAGGGGATACCTATTCTATTCAGCAAAGTCTTCAAGCGGCTTACAAGTAGGACATAAGAAAAATGTCACTAACCAATTAAATAAGGTAGTTTGGCTTAAATGCAAGTGTTTTGCCTTAAATAAGAACCCTTATGAGCCTCAGTTTCCTCATCATGAAAAGGGGCGGTCCACATGGAGATGGGATGCTTGAGAAGCGCTCGTGTTTTAATGGACGTGGAGCACTGTTCATCGAAGAGATTGTTACGATTATTATGGTATTTGGAAACAGCAGCCCGGATTTCTGGGTCACATCTTGGAACTGGGGAAAAGTTCCTGTCCTGGGCTATAGGGGACTGAGGCTGGGGATAAATAGAAAGTCCAGAGACCCACATGCCTTTCCAAGCCCAGACGTCCCTCTTGCCAATCTCTGGATAGCACCTATGTCCGTGCTGAGATGGTGTTGCCAGTTGAGCTGAGGTGGATGCCCCAGATTACATGCAAGTTGGATGGGTAGATGCCTCTCTCCATGGGGTTTCTCCCAGCACCATGAAAAACAGGGTACTTAGAGGAGGCTCATCTGCTCCCGGGGGTTAAGCCACTAGTCCAAACTCTTACTTTTATCTGTATTCAATCTGGGAAGAGTTTGATGAGGCAGGTACATAAAAACACAACCCCCACCCCCAGCAAACTCAGTTACTAAGTTTTCCTTCCTAAGAAGGCTGAGAGATTGTGGACTACCCCAGGGGTCCTCATTTTGCAGATAAAAATGGTGGCTAACACTTATACAATACAGAGGGTGTTCCAGGCACTATGGAATGTATTTTGTAGACACTGGTTTATTTAATCCTCTCAACCACATGAAGGAGGCACGATTATTATTCCCAAGACTGAGGCCACGGAAGGGAGCCACACAGCCACTTAGTGGCAGAACCAGAATTTCCTCTCAGATCCGTGGTCTTCCACCCGACAGCATCTCTTGGTCCTTCAGCTAATGGAACAAATCATTCAAGGCACACTCTTCTTTATCCAGAAGATCAGGATTTCTTCTTGAAAGGGAAGCTGAGGCCAGAGGGGATGGGGACACAGCTGGTCAGGGAGGAAGTTACACTGCCCGCTTCCCTGTTACCCAGGGACAGTTCACTGAGACCTGCCCAACCCAGCTGTGGTGGCTGCCACGGTAGGTGGAGGGTGTTTTCTGCTAAGCCGAGTCGAAATGAAAGAGAGTCTAACACCTGAGAGGTTTTATGACCCTCTGACACAGCCAGATGTGAAGCAAAGTTTTAAGAGAATTTGTGAGTTCACCATTCATGCTGTTTAATCACCAATTGAATTGCAATAACATTTGTCACGGACATATTGCCCATAGAGTGAGCAAGAGGGCCAGATGAGATAATCCAGATCATTCTAGGTCCTATCGTGGAAAAAGTTAAAAAAAATTTTCTCCACCTGCTGAGAAAAACTACTTTAAAAATGGAAGTGCTACTTATTGGCTGTTTCTGTGTAATTGTTCCTCCCGCCACCCTTATTCCCCCTACCCACCCCCCAAGAATGAGCATTTATTAAATTCTTTATATATATTCTCAGTCTTATAGCAACTCTGGGGAGTATCTATGATTCCCATTTTGTAGATGAGAATTTGGGGCTGAAGGAGGTTAAGTAACTTGCCCGTGATTCCCACCAGGAATGCACAGCTCCAAAGCCAGGTTCTATTTCCTCACTGGTTCTTAACCTTGTCTGTGCCTGGAAACCCAGTGATCCATGTTTGGATCTTCTTCTCAGAGACTCTGATCCCACTTGTTTGGTGAGACCTGGAGCTTTGTAAAGCTTTCCAGATAATTCTAATGTGCCTCTGAAACTGGCCATCACTGCATTATACCATGTTGCTTCCGGGTGGTCTAGATTCACTGTCTGCTACCCCAGCCTTACGCAACTGTTTCGCATGGGCTAATTGTTTGATTCATTCATTACTAGGAGGACCTGCTATGTGACAGGCATTTGCTGGCACTGGGATCAGCAGAGAGCAAGAGAGATAGGGCCCTAGCTTCTAGGAGGTGCATTTTGCTAGAATGTACTGTCTCCTTCACAATGGAAAAATCATCACTTGGATGTGAATTTGAATGGAGCTGGGTTTTGAGAGCAGAATTCCTGGCTTCTAGCCTCAGACTGGAAGGTCAGGTCTTGAATTAGGGACACATCAGTCTCAAGAACTGCTTTGCCTTTCATTTCCGACACCCCCCAGCCCACACCACAAGAAAATGAATGTTCTTTTCCTCCCAGTGGCCATCCAAACGGGACTGGAACACAGGAAAGATGTAACCTCACTTTTGACATGTGTTTGACATGTAAAAAACTTCCTTCCAGACAGGAAAAAGTCAGTGGCTCTTTTTTTTTTTTTTCTTCCTTCGAAGGAAAGACAGTCCGTGTTACCCTTGTCCTGTTTAGACTCTGAAATCCTAAATTGATCCCTATGAAAATTCTGGGTTTGGGAGCCTTGGTAGATTGTTTCTCATTAGTGACATTCTTCCTGGAAGGTCAGGCTAAGGAATGGTAAATAAACCTTCAGATCCGGTGCTTCCTCCTCACCCAAGATATTTAAAAGAAAGGAAGAAGGGCGGAGGGAAAACTCTGCTGTGGAAACACAGAACACTTGGCTTTCATTCTGACAGTTCAGGCTGGTCTGTGCTTTGGGTGAAATTTCTGGGAAGTTAAGGAGCAATTTTTTCTCTTCGGTTGATTTGATCTGTTTCATTGGGAGAGCCACTTAACCTCTCTCTACCTCAGTTTCTCCCCTGGAAAATTGACAGGAACAATTCTGTAGTTCAGCTTTCCTGGAATGAAGGAGCCTGTGTTTATACAGATGTTTCTTGAGCCTGACTCTCCTGAACCTATATTTCTCTGCTCATCTCTCTGTCCATCTCCCCAGGGTTGGGTTGGCTTGGGGGCAGGGGCAGAGCAGAGCCAGGGCTGGGATGTGGCAGTGTCCTGAAGCTCTGGTTTGCCCCACCTCTGCCCCATCTGCCCTGCTGCCTTGAACAAAGCAAAATGGGGTCTGCATCGAGCACAGGTACAGATCACGAAGGAGATTTTGATGGACTCATTCTAGGTGTAAAAGAGAAGGGAGCAGGTTTAGACTTCCTGGCAACTTTAACACTGATCAATTCATCTTACACTTTCATTTATTTACCAAACATTTACTGAAGGCCTGCCCTGCACCAGACAGCAGGGCTGCACGGAGGACAGAGTCAGAGACAGACGCTCACCCTCGGAGTTTTTCCAGACCAGCAGGAAAGACACAGAGCGCCAGGCACTTAGAGCACCGGGTGTGTTGTGCGGAGGCAGGGGAGCAGGGCCACGGGGGCGTGAGGTGGG